GGACAGGAACCACATTGAACCTATCTGCTGCCGCAAAGGATGTTTCACCAAAGCTTACACTAAACCTTTTTTATACTATTAAAATTTTCTTAACTCAATGAACCCATTTTGTAGGCTGTTTGAATAGTTGTTGTCTACCTTTCATAACACAGACACTACTACATTTTACAATCGTGATACACATATCAAAGCAATAAAAAAAAAATTGCTCTAACTAGTGCAGTTCCATCAAGTTCGACAAAGCACCAACAAGTAATCTGGCTCAAAAAACAGCCCAAAGATCCTAAAGACGGAACAGAGAGACATGCGGATCACAACAACCAGCAGGACTTACCCTCTCTAACTATCTCAGAATCATCAAGCTACTCAGATGCATCAGCAAGTAATTCAGTTTGAAAATGACCTAAAATTCACTCAGTGTCCTGTTGTTACACCTCTTTGTTTATTCCTCATATATCTCCCTCATTCCTTATATACAGGGTGATTCAAAAAGATTCATCTGATTTCAAAGCGCCATATCTTTACAACCATGAGGCACTTAGGAACCAATCAAACACCAATTGAAAGAGGGGGTCATAGAGTTTCTGACTGTCACTGGAAGATGGCTCCCTTCAGTCTGCGAGGAGATGCGACCCCTGAGCAGAAAGCGTTTTGTGTTCTCCACTTCAGCAAGAGTGAATCAGTCATAACTGTGCAACGTGATTTTAGTCGGCAGTGAACCTCCAACAGCTCAGAGCGTTCATCGTTGGTTCCACAACACTGGATGATCTCCGAAATCGCACGCAAAGAGCCGTGAGTGCAGTGACACCCAACAAGCTCAATCAAGTATGGGATGAATTTGACTATGGTGTGATGTCGTCTGTACAGCTGGAGGAGGTTCATACTGAGCACTTGTAAAATTACATAATAAACTTTATGCTCATTTAAACCATTTACAATTCATTGCATTGTTCTGTAATGATTTACAAGTGAAATAAATAATTTTGAAATTGGATGAATCTTTTTGAAATCAGGAAATGAGGCTAGGGTTCATTGTGTTAATGTGCATCCGTCAGCAACTTAAGCCAGCAAGTCAATCTGTGAGCTGCGTTCAATATAAAACTTGTCTTCCTGTTTCAACCATGTAAACTACATCTAATTAAACTTTTCCCTCCAGATCTTCAAGTTCACCAGTTATGCATAAAACCAGATCTTGTATGGACTTAAAGAAAAGAAAGAGAAGTACTGTTTCCCCTCTCTACCTTCGGAGAAAGTTGTTTGCCAATCAAGATAAAAACTACTTTTGCCTAATTGGTAAAACTTGCGGCCAAACTAATTTGCCTCAAATAGAAATCAACTGAACTTTTCTGCCACATGGCATAACAGATTTTGTCAGGCTGCAACCATCAAGTACTGTGTGGACCCAACATAGCCCTCCACTGAAATGATCATGGCGTAGCAAGGTTGCAAGTGGACACTTGCAAATATCGTAAGAAGGACCAGTAGAGGGATTTAAAATATGCATCAACATCATAGGAACAGCTAATTCAATGAGAAAGTACCTTTTAATCAATAAATGTAAAGCAACAGACTCGGTCAACAACCAGTATGTGTTGATTAGCGAAGGTAGGTGGAGAACTACACAACTCCAGTGCTAGTGGCTTTCCTCCATGAGAAAGCCATGTAATCACTGGGTCCTGATTTAATGAAGGCTGTAAATTAGTGAGTACTGTGTATCAAAGTACACAGTGACCTTTAGGGTTTATAAATCACCTCTCCCGTTCTGCTGCCAGCTCTCTCCTTCCCCCAATTTGTCACAGGAGAATAACACGCACGCCCCTCCACACTGGAAGGATACTGGGTGGTGTGGGTGGATCAAAGGTTGCCATGCTTGCTCGGGCCACAACCACTGCAAAGCTCCACAGGTGTTTTGAGAAATGAAGTCATAGAATGAGTCACATATATGTAATTCAGTTCCAACTGCTGTACAAATATGATCAAATAACACAGAAATAAGGCAAGAGGAAAATTCATCTGTCATAACATTCTAAAGACAACAAATGGAAACATCTGAGATTGGTCAACATACTCGAGCAAAAAAATGTCTGTTTTTCAAGTGCTTACTGGAGGAGTGGTGCTCATGAAATGAAATGCTTGATTGTGACTCAGTAGCCATACAACTGAATGAAATGCATCCACCGTGGTCTGCCACAATTAACTGATGACAGATATTAAATTATATCATGCAAATTTTGATTAATAAAGTAAGGGCCCAGGAAAAACAGCATCAGACCCACACGACTAATTTAGCTAACAACTAATACAAGTCTAAAGCCTCTTTTACACTATGTGATTACAGTGGTCTTCACACTGCACTAGACATTGCAAATAAAATCTTGTCCAAACTCCACCTCGGACTGTGCGAATTCAGTTATGATTTTAAAAAATTATTATAAAATAAAACATTTCTCCCAGTAGATTTATGATTCAAGAAAAAGATGACACTTGCTTTCTTTTTTGGCTGAAAAAAAAGCTATGTAAGCAAAACCCTCAGCACGGAGGCAATCGGTTGTCTGAAAAAAACACACAGAAGGAGAGGGTGGTGCTGTTCTTGGCTCTGGTGAAAGGTCTATATAGAATGCTCATTCTCCAAAGTGAACTTGAGGACAGTCTGCTAATTTTTCTGTCCATTCTGTGGTAGCTAGCTCTGCCATTTCACTGTTTCACTCGATATGTGAACCAAGGGGTGAGCCAGGCTAATAATGTAAACGAAAGACTAACGTAGGCTGTCTTTGAGGGAGTAAACTGGCCGCTGCAGAGCACGCCACGTTCAGTGTTCAAAGACCACCAAATCTCAACTTAATCAAACAATTCTTTCATGATTTGCGACTTCTGTCTCACATTAATTATACTGCATCATGGTGATAATTATCTTACAGTGTAAACGTGCTTTAAGACATTGACTTGCATGAAATTAGCCCTCGTATCTCAACTGCAAAACTACAGAAGCAAACTCTGGACACCAAACATGGCTTGGCCAAATAAAAAGTTTGGGGTAAGAGGAAAATTATGTAATTTTTGTAGTGAACCATTCCTTTAAGTCAGTGTTTCCCCAACCCTGGTACTGGAGGCAAACTGGCCTGCACATTTTAGTACTTTCCCTGCTTTAACACATGCACTACAACTGAGTAAGGGGTTGCTAATGAGCCAAGTAGTCAGATCAGGTGTGTTGGGAGCTGTGAAAAAACTAAAATGTGCAGGGCAGTGTGCCTCCATGACCGAGGTTGGGAAACACTGCCGAGAGTAATCTTTTGTCAAGCCTGCCCTAAAGTGTTTCAAATTCTAAAGGAACTGAAGTTTCATCTCTAGCCTACAGCAACACTCTTCTCTACCTCAAACAAAACCCTGGTGTTCCGCACTTTGCAAGGAAAGCAACTAGAACAATCACAGACATCACAGATTTTTGACCAATTCTCCACTTTACAATAGAGTTTCATAAACATCAGAGCCCTCATTCTTTTTTGGGGGCAGGAAAGTAATCTTCACATTGATGTCAACACGAATGACCAAATCCATGTGGCATCCGTCCAGCAGTATGCAAATAACAGCAGGTCAGCTTGCTTGTACATATGTACAATCCTGAATTTGTTCAGGAGAAAAATACCAGCACGTTACTGTCATGTAAGAGAGTAAAAACACTTCCCCCTTTCAGATTCCTTCACAAAGAGCCCTGGCAGAGGGCCACATTCCACAAACAACTGAAGTTGTGCTCTTTCCTGCTTTGTGTGGACAAAGCCGAGCTTCCCCACAATATCCGCCTTCCAGCGGGGCTCCGCCCCACCTCCGCACCCCAGCGCACGCAGCACCAGAACATCTCACACACTGACCACGAGAGCTCTCCAACCCCACACACCACGTACATGACTGTGGTCAGTCAAGATGCCTAACCAAACACAATCTTGTCACAATGCATGGGTTCAAAGTGCTGATTTTACAATGTGGATGCTTCTCAAAGACACAAAACCATGAAAGGTCAGTGGCCCTTGGTTCAGTGTCCCAGACCACATCCTTAAATGTCCTTGGTTTCAAATGGGACACTGCTGATTACAGTAGTTTACTGCGATGGAAAGGAGGTGCTACGTTTGGTGTGGGTGTGAGTGTGTGTGATAAATCAGCTCAGTCAAATTCTATATTCCCCAGAGAGGGGAAAACTGAATTAAGTCGCCTGCATGTCACAGGGTATACGGTCACAGCACCTCAAAAATGTACAGGAAAAATCTCTTCTGCATTAGATTTCCTGCCTCTGTAGTGCTGGGTGATATATATCATTACATCAAATATACTGGTACATAGCAATCACGACAAAGCACGATAATGCTTTTCAGTTTTACCAATATTTTATCTGAACACCTGATAGATAATAAGCTTTATATCGATTACATAATGCTTATAAGACAGGTGATCCTGTAAACTTCAATGTGTTGCTCTGTGATTGACTGTTTTGAAAGAACAGTTTAACAATCATAAAAAATGTAATAAAACTGTAAGCGCTCTGTGGAAATGTGCTGTATGTCTGTTCAGCAGACAAAGTTCCCTTTGGTGTCATTTACAGAACAGAAAACAATAAAACAAGCAAGGTCAGGACTGTAATACATCTCTTTAGCATTGAGTAGCAGTGCTCAGGAAGGGTTCATTAACTTTATGAGTGACTGTCTGACACTGTGATATTATACTGTATTCAGAAAATACTGTGGTGTTTCATTTAATCAATACAGCCCAGCACTACTTTATAAAGGACAGTGATAGTCAAACTTCTCAGCGTTCTCTCTAGGCTTTACTTGTCCATTCTAATTATGCAGTAGTGACCTTGTTGGGATGTAATCAGTGCAAAAAATGGACTGCAGAACACATAAAGTCCTCATAACTGTCCAGTCAAATCAGTCACTGCACCCATAAACACACTCAATGGCCAAGGTTTTGTTTAAAAAGTCATGAAGTTTCACTTTACTGATGTGAGTTACCTGTGACATCTGGGGCCTGAAGTTGATCTGCTTCAAGTCCACGGATCCTGGGGACAAGTTGTGCAGCATTTGGCACAAGAGCACCCCATCTCGAAGCGCCTGGGCCAAGTCGAAGACGACTGCAGAGGGCCACACGACCCGGTGGTTGGGGGGCAAAACCTTGCAGTCTATGAGCCAGCGGCCGCACTGCCTCCACTCCTCCATCGCGGGCGGCGGGCAGAGCGAGCTCAGCACTCCGGGTTTGGCAGCTCCGCGCTCGGCCTGAGATCCAGAGAAGACACGCTGACCGTCCTAAATGTCAGCGCAGCGAAAACTGGACTTGCGGTCCATAGGACAAAAACAAAGCTCAGATTCTTACTTAGCTGAAAGAAAATAAATAAACAAAGCTGCGACTCAATCCCAAAATCAACACGGCTGAATCCACTTCATTCAGTCCTCCGTTTCAGATGAACCGCTGGTGCCTCCGCACATTCCAGCGTACAAACTGCTTCGTACAGTTCAAAACAAATGTGTCCTTACTGTTTGTTGTTAAATGGTTTAGTGAAGCTAAATATGCAAAGAAAAGGAAGTCAAAACATCACATCACACTTCTACTACAAACCCGAGTTTGAATCAGTGCAGTTTCCTCTTCTTCATCGCTTAAGTTAACGTTAGCTAGCTAACGAGCTCAGACAGGCTTCGGCTGTATGAATGATACTATTTCAACGGCAAATAACGGCTGCTGAGCGGTTCGTGGAGCAGTTTTTCCCTTCAGTTAGTCAGACGGCACCGTTCACACAAACTAGCACGGAGAAACGAAGGAGTGAGTTTGTCTCCTGGTGAGAGGAGATGTAGTTAGTCTCTCCTCTCTTTCTCTCGCAGTGTTTAAGCTAGCAACGGTGAAACTTGCAACATAAGACATAAACAAAACAGGACCGTTAGGTTATCAACTTGCCTGCTTAAGCTTTGGTAAACTTTCGGCGTTTAACACAGCACCTCCCGACCTGCTAACGTTAACCGACTATCCGAGCTAACGTTACCGTTAACGTCCGTTAAAAACTCACTGAAAACGTTGTTGTTTTCAGAGTCCTTTCGCTGTTTGCGAACAGAAAAAAAGAGCTGAAGAGTATACACGAACACAATAACGCGTACTTCTCTCCCTCCTGTCGCTTTGTCCGTTCTCCGAAATCCTGTTTTTGTTGTTTTTCTTTCCACTCGTTTTCTTTCTGCTTCTTCAGATTTTTTCGCCTTCACTCGGAGCTCGCGAGCCGTGCGAGTAGCGATGCGCGACTCGCGAACAAATCAGTTCTTTTGAACCGAATCTTTTCAGCAGAGCGCTCGAATCGACTCACGGGTCCAAATGAATCGAAATGTTTTAAAAGCGTGATACACATAATCAGAAATTCAGAATCCCTTTATTTTCAAGTATTTACACATACAAGGAATTGTCTTGGTGAGTGCACACACGTGGCATACTAAACATGCCAGACAAGCACACAGATTAGTAACAAATATTTCTCTAAAGGGCAATTAAAATAAAAAAACAATACACACACACGCACACACACACACACACACACACACACACATCTTCTAAGCCACTTATCCTTCTGAGTCACGGAGGGAGCTGAAGCGTATCCCAGCAGTCACAAGGCAGGATACACCCTGGACAGGTCACCGGTCCATCACAGAAAATACAATAAATAGAATAGAATAATAGTGGACTGATGTGAAAAGAGCCAAAGAGAAGTTTGAATGTCTGTATACAGATATGAATATCTATACATAAAGGTCTGATTGAATTTATGATATAATAATTATTACATTACAAAATGATATGAACATGTGTAAAGCAAAATTGTCTACTTGTACAAATAAGCGTATCTTACAGAGGAGTTATATGGTAATACTGTAAGGCATTCTGATCCACAATGAGCCTGTTTCCCAGATCCAGATTAAGCCTAGTTCTGGACTACACAGCAATCTGAACAAAGATTCTCCATTAAAAGAAAAGGCAAGGCAAGTTTATTTGTATAGTACCTTTCATACATAGCAGCAGTTCAAATTGCTTCACACAAACATAAAAGCAATAAATGACAAATCTTATATGATCCTGTAATCTAGACAAACAATAAAATAAAGTGCAATGGAGAGATGAGGGAAATGTAGTCTAGCACTAAACTCTTAGCAAAAGGCATTCTTTAGGTTGTAACAATAGCGAAATCCTTTTTAAAAGGTTCTACATAGAACCATCTACAGCACTTTCTTAATCAATCTGAAGAACACTTTCATGATACAAAGAACCCTTAAATCATGCAAAGGGTTCTTTGAGTGTTCATGGCTCTATATAGAACCATTTTTTTCACTAAAGAACCCTTGAGGAACCATCTTTTGTGTAGGTTTAATCCCTGACCAGGAAAATGACCCTGTATGTCAGTTTTGTCTGTAGACACCTGCTCAGTGTTTCTTCTGAAATCAGGGCTATTATTAGGGAGTTTGTTGCATTAACAGCCTCTATTCTTCCGGCAAGACTTTACATCAGTGGGGTTTAACTTTGGTCTTGGAGGGCAAGTGTCACAGGTTTGTGATTTCCCTGCTCACACCTGATTTAGGTATCAGTTGCATCAGGTAATTGCCATGTTTAGTGGGTGTGTTTGAGCAAGGCAATTGCCAAAAAGTTTGCTGAACACTGACCCTCCAGGATAAGCATTGAACAACCTTGCACTATGAGTTGGAACATTGCTCTGAAGATTTGATTGCATTCAGCCACAAAATCATTCATGAGCTCAGGAACTGATGCTGGTGGATTAGTTTTGGATCACAAATGCTGCTCCAACTCATTCCAAACGGTGCTGTATGGAGCTCCATTGCAGATCACAGTTCTGCTGCTCCACAGCCCAATGCTGGGAGGGTTTATACCACTCCAGCCAACACTTGGCATTGGGCATGGTGACCTTGGGCTCATGTGTGGCTGTTCCAGAGTGTCCCAGTCTATTCACAATGCTTTTCTTTGGAGATGCATGCAATCAAATGCCTGTGTTAGTAATAGCTGAATTCACCAATTTGAAGGGGTGTCTAGATATTTTTGGTCCTATAATGTAGGTTTAAGGTTTCAAATTAAAATTTAAAGCTGATCTTTCACAGTTCAGATTCAGTTGCTGAATTGTAAGTTATTTGTATATCATAGGTGCATCTTCTGACAGCCCATGAGAAAATATGTCCCCCCACCAACTCGCCCTCAACCATATGGAGCCTGATTTTTGACTGGACATTATTTTGTCCAACTGCACTAATGTGTGAAAAGTATAAATTTTATTGTGTGTAATTTTTAACCTGTGCTGTATGGAGAGAACAAAGTTCACTTGACCTGTGAATCAATGAATCGTTGAATCGGACGCTCGATTCACTGAAACGGACAGGTCGAAAGAATCGGTTCGGCAAACTGAATCCAACTTCCCATCACTATGAGAAAGAAAGCGTGTGCACGCGGCCGGGGGACAGGAGGAAGAGGAGGCGCGGGGGCGCGCACGGGTTGGATCCGTCCACGTGGGAGGAGGAGGTTTGGGTTTTGCTCCCCACTAAGTTGCCACAAATATGCACATAAAATATAATAGTAGTGAATATTAAACCGAGACTTAAAACATGCTTTTCTAGATGACAGATAGACGGTAAATAGATTCTTATCTATGTAATAATTTTTATGGATTGTATGAAAGTATATCTACTCCTCTGAATGCCCTGCTGCAAAAACTGTTGCATCACTTGGTAGCACCAGTTGTGCCATTCTACTTTATTTAATTTTGATTTTACATAGACTAATTGTCTCTGAATGCCCAGTAAGCTGATAGAGTTCCACTAATTGCGTTTCCATTTCATATTGTGGCCTGTGGAGAGAACAGACTGCATGTTTAACTGGCCTGCAGAAATCCCAGCATTCACTTACGAATGAGCTAAGACTGCACTGTAATGGATGCAGAACGGCCATCTGACCCTACCAGCACAAACATGAACTCATCAGTACACTAAAGGAGCACTGTGGTGGTTCCAATCTACCTCTGGAATAAGATTTACATGGGAGAGACATGTTCAATCCGACTGGATGGATGGCTCACTGCAGTGGCTGCTTTGTAACCACATTCAGAATGAACAATGGCTTTCTGCCTCCAACATGATGCCTTGTCAGAGAAGTTGGGCCCCTGATCCATCACGCGGCAATGCAGTAAGAGAGTGTCGCTGGCTGGCATGTTTCATATGCTGCAGCAAAGGGGGAAGGTCACACGGTCCTATGAAAACTGTGACACTGCGCCCTGGAGAGTGCACTATAAATGGAAGCCGAGACGCAAGCACGGGGCAATGTCACACCAAATGATAAAGCGTGCGGGCCTTTGGAGCAGTGTAGTACCCAGTGACTAGGCATGGGATACTGAATACTGAATATACTGAAGTATTGATACTTCCGATCTTTATTTTTGGGGATCGAGCCCTGTATTAAAATATTGCAAGTGTTTTCTTTAAAGGGGAATTACGCCGATTTATCAAATTTTCTGCATAATTCAGTCACTGAGGTGTAAATAAAGTCATTCTGTGGTCAGTGGTTCACTGTAGAGAAACTCACTCCCTCTGATTTTCTTCACAGTGGTGGTGATAGGAACCAGAAGAGCAATGTCTACATTGCAGATACGGACATTTTATTTACTATCCAAAACCACCAGTGAGGGTTTAAAAAATCTGAACGGGTTTTAAAAATCTTATCACAAAACTAGCATAAAACAATGTCTCAGACATCAGGCAGTGTATTCATAACCATTTTCATGTAATAGCTTTCTGTGATGTAGCTTTTAGAGGCATTAAACTCTTTAGACACTTCAAGTCTCACATTAAACGCCACATTAAACTCTCTCAAACTCTTCAGTCTGGTTCCTATCACCCCCACTGTGAACAGTTCTGACTCTGTAAGTTTCTCTAGAACGGAGCATTTCACACCAAACCACTCTGAATGACTAAAAGCAATAAATAACTCCAAGCAACTTGACTGTTGTACAGTTCAACAACATCTTAGACAAGTTAATGGTACATTAACTACATTAAATAAATAGAGCATTAGCTTAGGTTACATAGGTAGCAGGTAAATAAGGAACAGGTTATTTGTTCTAAATAAGTTAGCTAATGTAACTAGCTAATATATGCACCTCCTTATGGTGGACGATTAAGCTTATGTTACATCAGATTAGCCATTTGTAATGTTTGTTTATGCTAGAAAAAACCCAAACAACATCAATGTTAATTATTAACTAGAAAAGTGCATTTCATGCAGAAAATGCAGAGTGATTGCGCAGGTTAATCAGTTCCCAGATAGTTGCTAAGGAGTGTCCAGGAAGTTTCCATAGATGTTTGCTATGGGGTCCCAGCTGGTTCCTAAGGAGCTGCTACGTGGTTGCTATGGTATCCCAGGTGGTCGCTAGATGTTGCAAAGTGGTTGCTATGGTATCCCAGGTGGTTGCTATGGTACCCCACATGGTTAATAGGGTGTTGCCAATGGACTTGTATCATTATGATATTGGGGGCGCAAACTTTTGCACCCTATTAATTTCTACTGGGAAAAAAGGGTACAAAAAATGTAGGTTGGATCCGATCAGACCAGAGTTAAAATGGTGTCGACATCTCAAAAAATGAGGGACGAGTCAGTGGACAAAAATCCGGCAGAATAATAATAGTAATAAGAAGAAGAAGAAAAAGAAGAAGAAGAATATAAATCGCTGCACACTAGTTTTAATGCACCATTGTAACATGAGCTTATTAATTGTTGGCCTAAGGGGGTGCATATACTAGCTAGCAGTGTTAGCTAAATTATTTAAATATTATTGGTATTTAAAGTGGAACGAAAAATGCAGTTGAGAAGTTTGATCTTATTTTGGCCACCAGTAAGCTAGGCTAGCTAAGTGCCATTCTACTACTGAATGTGTTTTCCTTCTAGTTTCAGTTAATTCAGTCATTTTTTAATAGACATTAGTACATTTTTTTCAGTGCCCGATGAGTGCCAGAAATAAAGAAAACTGCAGGAGAAACAGCAGCCCGAAAAGGCGAATATGGGAAAGAACTTTATGTTAGCACACTACTGGATCATTAATTACTTTGTACTAAAAAGTTTAAGAACTTAAAACTGGACCAAATAATATGCAGCCATCTGAGTTCTGATGAGATGCCAGGTACCAGTTCATACAGATATATTTATTTGTGGTAGTAATTATGCATGCAGTTCATTTTTGTCTAATGTTCTTTCCATTTAAAAATAATATACATACATGGTAAGTGTTGCAGCAACAGGGGTTAGAGGAGGTTGGAGAGGTGCTTAACACAAAAGCAGCTGAGAGAGGACAGAAACTGACCATACCAACAACAGAAACAGCAGAGGATATTTATTTTTAATCATCTGGTAATTAATAAATTTTATTTTTTCAGTTTATAGTCTATAGTGGAGGCACTTTGGAATGTACAATACTAGTCACACCGTTCCATGAAACTGAATGTGTATTTAATGCCTAGAAAGTGGGGAAAAAATGCCTGACTGCATTACGCCAACAGTAAAGTTTGGTGGAGGAAGGATAACGCTATGGGGTTGTTTTTCATGTGTTGGCCTAGAACCCTTAGTTCCAGTGAAGGGAATCTTAATGCTTCAGCAGACCAAGGCATTTTGGACAATTGTATTCTTCTAACTTTGTGGGAACAGTTTGGGGAAGACCCATTTCTGTTCCAGCATGACTGAGCCCCCTTGCACAAAACAAGGTCTATAAAGGCGTGGCTGGGTGAGTTTGCTGTGGAAGAACTTGACTGGCCCGCACAGAGCTCTGATTTCAACCCCATCCAACACCTTTGGGATGAACTTGAACAGAGATTGCAAGCCAGACCCTCTAGTCTAACATCAGTGTCTGACCTCACAAATGCTCTTCTGGATGAATGGGCAAAAATTCCCACAGACACTCTCCAAAATCTTGTAGAAAGCTTCCCAGAAGAGTGGAAGCTGTTATAGCTGCAAAGGGGGGACCAACTCCATATTAATGCCTATGGATTTAGAATGGGATGTCATAAAAGCTCCTGTAGGTGTAATGTGTAGGTGTCCCAATACTTTTGTCCATATAGTGAATAGAAAAGAGTTGTTTTTTGTGACATCACAAAAACAGTAAATTCAGTAGTTTCTAGATGTGGACTGGGGAGTGAAAGGCATGTTTTGAGATCTTAGCAGTGTTTACATCCTACACTGAACTCTCTTATTTAAAAAGTGAGGAAAAGTCATTTTTCTATGATATGGATCCTTAATTACTGATGTACACATTTACTGGTTTTCACTGTATAACACCGTACATCCCAAAGAACTGCCCTTTTTATGTTCACAAAAGTACTTTTGAAGGTATCTGTATTGGCATAAGGGCATTAGCCGTGGTATTACTCGGATTGAGCAAAAACAAATCTCCCCCGCAGTGACTCTTGGTACTATTTCACCTGTCTGTTCTCTGCAAACAGATGTGTTCTTTCCTTGCTACTGTTTCTGAGCGTTAAAGAACACAAAAATCCCATTTCTAACGAAAAACTGTTTTTTTTATAATCAAGCTAACGTTAGCATGGTATAAAATTAGTTGTCGTTTCGTTTTAGAGTGGAAACTCAACATTATGTGGCCAATCTAATCTCTGACCTTAGCTCGTTACTTTAAATATTCTGCGCTTCCTCAAGCTGCTTGTGTTCTCTCTCCTTTCATCGGAGCTATTAAACTTCACCAGAACCTCCAACAGGTCCATATTAACTCATTTAAAACATTTGCTCTAGTGGGCCTGGCAATGCGAGAATTACATTAATATGCATCACAATTTTAACAGCAGTGATGCGCACAGCCAGCAATCAAAAATAAAACACTACCGCCATCTAGTGGTCCACAGGTAGTAATGTGTGCTTCAGTTGGCTTCTGCTTGTCCCAAAAAAACAAAAAAAACAAAAAACATACATACATATATATATATATATATATATATATATATGTATGTCTATATATACACACACACTCATATATATATATATATATATACACACATATATATTAAATAGGATATTATCAACATAAAAAGGATTAACAACAGAGCCACTTCATTGTTGTGCTGGACCAAGGAAAAGAGAAATAGAAAGCAAGAAAGTCAGAGCTGGGCTGGGATGGGCGAAATAAAGATGGACCACATATTCAGTAAGTAAGCAGACTGCAGAGCAGAACTGCATAAAAAGAAACAGAAAGCAAGAAAGGCACATTACAAGGGTATTTTTGTCATTTATTTTATGAAAAAACAGAATTTACCCAGCATAGAAGAGATTCCTGGTAGGCGATGCAATCAAATGGTAGCCTCTCTCCGTCCAACCCAAAGCCCAACCCTCTGGCCCACGGTTCCGTAAACAAGCCTAAATCTACTTTCACCGAATCCTCAAATTTGTTGCTGTGGTTGTTCCAATGACTGACATTTACAGGAAGATAACTATAAACAGCTCAAAAAGGTATAAGAAAAATACAATAAACTGGCATGCATGTCAAAGATAAAAAGTAAACATTTGTTTTTCAAAATATAAAACGGAGTTATTATAATTTTCTTTTTAAACCAGGGCTTAGAAATGATCTACAAGTTTTATATATGTATATATTCTATATATATTTATATATATATTTATTGTTTTCAGACTGTTTCTAAAAGATATCACTCTGGTAAAACCTGATAGGGCTTGATGAACATTGGTTTCAGAATGCTGTGGGAAGGCAATTTGGGGAAATTTGCTGCCAAGTACACCCAGATTAGACACACATCAACAGAAACGACAAAGAGCTGCAGATAGTAAAATAATTGTGTGCTTGACATTAATTAGTGTTTTAATTAGAGTAGAAAGTTAATGCGCCTCATTAATTTGGTTCTCTCCAAAGAACATTAAGGCAGACTTCATCTGGAAATTTTTTGTTTCCAAAATTGACCCTAAGCCAATTACATATAATGACAAAATAGCATATTCCCTCTTTAAAATCTACAAAAAATAATGAACCGTATTCTAAAACATGAGCATGAGCAAAGTAGGCAGCATTAGGAATGGTGGAGGATTTACTGGGACCATAAACGTTCATTTATTCCTTTCAAAAAGGAGACTTGTAATGTGAAACCTGCTATTGTTTTACATTCAGAAATCACTTTTGCATGAGTATGATCGAAGGAAGACTGTGATTCATTGATCATTGTCCAAAAGTTCAGAGGAAACATTCATAAGTGAGCAACACTTCCTAGAAAGGTCTACACCATAAAACATTAACCAAGCGTTCAAAAGTAGATGGATTATCTGCTGCCAGACTCACATATTGGGCAGTCAACAGACAACTTCCAACTGCAAAAGCCGGTGGAGATCTAGACATCAGTCATAGTAGGGTGGAGCGATTTGGGGTTGTGTACATTCACTTCTGAAGATGGCGCAGCAAAGAAGGAAGACCAGTACCCACAATGCTCAGTTGACATTTTCTTTTTCCACACCCTTCTCATGCGTATGTAACCTAGAATCACCCACTATTTCTAAATCTAAAAAGTTGAAACAAATAAGTTATGATATTTAACAGAACCAAGTATCGATTCACTAGATTACTGAGCCTTGTATGAACATGCACGCCAACACAGACACCACATGATTGAATTTTATGAACATAAAATACAAAACTTTCTGGCAGTTCAAGAAAAAAAATCTTAAAAAATAAATTCATTGACAACACTAAGGCTTGTGAGGAGAAAATGAAAAGCAACAACAAAGTAGAAAGAACAAAAATAAAAATAAATACAACACCACCTGCAGAAGAAGAGAGGCTGAGGGGGTCAAATCAAGGGGGATGGAAGATTAGGAGAAAGTTCTGTGAGCTTCCATTATCTCTCTCTCTCTCTTGCACAGAGATGCCACTGGTTTGTTTGAAATGCCAACCCATTTGCAAAATATCAATGTTTGAGTCAGGAAGGTTGTTTCGTTTCTTCCCAAGTATGCCTCAGTGAAGGTTTTCTTTGTTCATAGTTCTAGTTTGGTTGATCTGGACATCCCTTTCAGAGTCAGTGGAAATGAGATATCTATTTTTTTGTAAAATTGTTTCCCTGTTATGGTATTTCATATGAAAATGACATGATGCATTTTCATTGTTTCTTTTTTTCCTCTCTTAAAAAAGTCTCAGAGAAACAACCACAACTGCATACGTGTTTTTTTTTTAAAAAAAAGGAAGTAAAAATGTAAATAATAATATAATAATAAAATCAGTCAGAGTCACTGCTGTCTGAAGTGGAGCCGCTGGAGCTGCTGCTGCCCGAGTCTGAAGAGCTGCTGCTGACGCTGAGCCGGGACGGGCCTGAGCCTGGCCCAGAGCCGCCTTTCTCTACAGACCAGAGACAGGAAAAACAAGGTTAGGTCACATATAAAATTGCTGAAATTAAATTCAATGCTTAATACCAGTTAATTCATTATACATTTAAAGAAAAATACCATTTGCACCACTCAACAATGCCCTGAACATGGCATATTTTGTTGTATTCATGTTGTATAAAAATTGATTAGCCTCTAATCCTGGACTAAACAAGCCTAGTGAGCCTAGTAATTCTCCAATAAGATGTTTTAGTCAAAGACCTTCAATTGTTCCATGGGAACGGGCCACCTGGATCTCTTAATTGTCAAAGTAAATCCCACTGTGCACAAAACAGCAGCAACCCCTCCTGACAGTACTACAACTAAGTACACAACCCTACATCTAATTCAAGAAAACTCTTCCACTGGGGAAATGCACATAGCTGGAATGCATTTCATTTTAAGGAACATCTTTCAATATGCAGCTAAAATATGAAGTTATACAGCTAAACAAACAAACACTGAACTTAAAACCCAGGCCTGCATCCCATTACCATGTATCATGGACAGGGTGATTAGGAGGAGTATCAAGAAAGTCTAAGTTTCTTAGAAGTGGAATCGGGCCAGGGACTTTTTGGACATTTTTTGGCTTCTGCTGCTGTCCGGTCTCTGCTGGTCCAGGAGAAAGAACAGAAGTGAACTTACGTAGAGGTTTTCTCTGTTTCTTCTGTAAACAAGACTTGACGTAGCGCTCCAACTCGCGTAGGGTGGAGGGTTTGAGCGTCTCAAAGTCGATCTCAATCTCGTCAGGGTTGGAGTCCCGCAGCGAAGGCTCCCTGGACTGGATGATGTGCACCACCCTGCCAAGCTTCTCCCCTGGCAACCGGTTGATGTCCAGGCTCAGCTGCCGCTTCTCGTCATATGTCATGGGCAGCGCCGAGTCTTCATCATCCGATTCGTAGCCTGGCCCTCCTCTGGCTCCCTTCTTTGGTTGCCTGCTAAAAGTAAACCAAGATGAGAGGTATACCATGGATCACTAAAACCTACCTAAACGAATGCAATGGACAGATACACAGAAAATAGTAAATGGTAATTACAAGCAACTAAAGTGAGAAAAACTGAAATGTTAAGTCTTTTGAAAAAGTGGAAGACCATGAGAGAACCTGTTGCCAGTAACGGTGCTGTTAGCTTTCCTGGCTGGGCCCTTCTTCGGCTGAGCCTGTTTCGTAGGTTGAACTGCCTTAGGCTTTTTGTCGTCCTCAGGTTTGGCTTTGTTGTGCTTGTTATCTTTCTTTTTCTTGTCTTTGTCCTTTCTCTCTTTCTTCTTCTTTGGTTTACTGACAGGAGCCTGTGAAAGAGCAGCTAGCTGCTCATGGACGGCTTTCAGCTGGGGATAGAGGCAGGGAAAGGGGAGGGTGGGTCAGTGATCTGCTTAAACTAAAAAGTTCAGCAACCAGAAAAGATAGCATGGGTTGTCCAGTAGTAAAAGGTCAGGATAAAGTTTACATATTTTGCAGTAGGAGAAACGTCATCAATTTTGATAACGCTTAAACGAATTTGACCCTGCTCCCTGGACAACCCCTACAACTAATGGCAATTATGACACTTCTTTAGCAAATGGATTTGGTTCTTTTACTTCAAATTTTGCTTATCCAGCATTTTAACATAAATGTATGATAAATGGGTATTGGCTACATTATGTATCAGACAAATCAAACATGTCTCGGTTTTTTTTTTAAAACAGTCCAATATACAAATTATATACAGTACAATATACAAATTTCACAAATACACTGGATAAGCAAATATCCTTCAAATATCAATTAAAAACAAGAGAATGAGAGTTATTTATTGAAAATGAAAGAAGCATCTGAAAAAAAGAGGAGACAGAGAATCAATTTTACCTATTGGCATAGAACTCAAAACATAACTAAATTTGGCTTACGACAACATACAAGTAACCTTGCACCATATTTATTACTGAATGCTGCCAGTATGAAATATTTGTCTTAAGTTTTTTTTTGGTGTAAATAAAGCCTTCATGCTTTCTTTAACCAGAGATAAATAAAAAGGATGCACCACTATGTCTACTCGCAATACAAAGTCCACAATACTGGAACCCAGATCTTCACTAGGCATTGGAAAATCTCACCACGCCCCACACCACCACATTAGTTCTCTAAATGCTTTCTCTGAGTATTTTAACCCTCCACCACTTTTTCTGGTAAGCAGAATGTATGCCATATCTAATATATAGTTACTATAACACACAGTAAACTACTTTTTGATTATAAAAGCTGCTGTTAAGTATATGCACATCAACAAAAATGGTAGAAGCTGGGTCAAAAAAGTGAAAGAAAGACAAAATCAATAAATAAATATTAAAAAAAAAAAATCTTGGTGCACCTGTTTTTCTCCCCTTCCTGCTACCACTGGGGTGCTCCAGAGAAACAGTAGTAAGAAAGCCAAAGGAAAATGAGGAGAGAAAACAGAGCTCCAGAGACAGATGATCAAAACCAGTCAACAGCAAAGCCATTTCAGGTCAAATATCACTTGATACTGTAAAGATTAATAAAATGAAAATAAAAAAGGTTTTCTGAGGGTGCAGGAGGGTTTATGTAAAAAACAGAATGCATGGGATAGCCAGTAAAAAGCAAATTTAAACCAGCGAAGGGCTTTGGTAGAGGGCTAAAATCCTGCTCAATTGAATTTAAGAAACAAAATTAAAAATAAATAAATAAACAGAAAAACAGGCTGTTAACAAGAAGAGGCCAAACTTCAGCAAGGAGGTCCTCCTCCACTGAAGCCCTTCCCCTCAACTTCTCAGTGTGCAAAGTTTGGTTAAAAGAGTAAGTAGAGTAATGTGAGAAGGATAAACAGAGTTAATAAAGAAAAAAGGAGCAGACCCGACAGGGCCTCTGAAGGTTTAGATAGTCAGACCTTGTTCTGAAACCCACCTGTTCCGCACCCACCTGTTCCTGCAGCTCAGCAAGCCGCGTAGCTCTCTCCTCCTCGGAGTCGGAGCTATCAGAGGTGGAGGAGTCGCCGCTGCTCTCGCTGCTTGCCGTGCTCTTACTGACCACACCAGCCCCACCAGCACCACCAGGCACATTTACCTCCACTGGCTCATCTGGCATCTTGGCAAAGCGCATCTCAAATACATCCTACACAGCGACACGACAGAGTAATTATTAGGATTAGGATACTTTATCAAAGAATTCTGTTTTTCCAAAATACCAAGAAGACAGAATGACTAAACAAATATAGTCAAACTCACCTGTAGTCTTCGAGCCATGGCTACGACCTCATGATCAGGTGGGTTGTACTTGTAACAATTTGAGAACATTAATCGCACATCTGCAGCAAAGCTCTGTGCATCCTGGTACTCCCGACTGTCCATCTTTTTCTGCAACACATAATTAAACATTAAATAAACCAGAACAGGCCCGAAAACGACTCTTGATACATCAACAGCACTGCAACAAAGTCTGTATGTTGCAAATACATTGAAAAGCTTCTTAAGCACTTAAGTAAGAAGGAATTTGAGGTACGCACTTTGACTGTACTTAAGTCCATAGGATGTTTGATAATGTCGTGGTAATCGTGCAGTTCAAGTGCCTCTGCATCAACAGGCTTGTAGAATGGCCAGGCGTATGCAGCATGCTTTTTGGAGAGCATTTCTTTGAGGATGGTATCACAATGCTTGAGGTGTTCAGTCAGCCGGCCACGTTTTCCTCCATGCTGGCCCGCCTCCCCATCCTCCAGGTCCTTCTTGGGAGGTTTGATTGGCCGACCAGTGCTTTCCCGCCGAGAGGCCACCTTGCCCTGCTTGCCTTCGCAGAGAGGGGTGGGCGATTCACTCCTGCTGGCTGTGATAGCAGACGTAGTTGGGGTGGTGGTGTCAGCTTTCCTCTTTACCCCTTTCTTCTGGGAAACAGAAGAAATGCATACACAGAAGGACAAAAGCACATGGCAGTGAGGGACCATTACAGGCACACAGAGGCTGGAAGTAAAGATGCTTATATTTTATCTCTTGGCCCTGGAACTTACTTTGATGACGGGCTGCGAGGGGGGCATGGCAGGCATGATGGAGGCAGCTGTTGTATTCTGTATAGTGGGTGTACTCGGCGTGATGGTGGGCACTGCAGGAGGGGAGATAACTGGCGCTGGGGGGGCTGGAGAGGTAGCACCTGGGAAAGCCGAGGGTGGAGAGCCAGACATTACAGCTCCTTCCTGCTGACCTGCATTTAGAGTGGAACAGCGATGTACAATTTACAACATACATGTAGAGACACTCTACACTACTTTCAAGGAGCAGGCTATAACTTTAAAATCTAACAAGGATATCATTTAATTTTTATATTTTAATATGGGGTGAAGACTACAACTATATTACTTATCAAAACTTAAGTATATCAAAAGTATTGTAGTTGTTCTAGAGGTACTGACATGTATCGGAAGACAGATTATGATCAAACAGAGTCTCTAAATGACAAGTGTACAGTGACTGCATAACCCAAAACACAAAATAGTTGACAATGTTAGCACATTACGCCATGTTATTTATTTCTTTTTACTGATTATTTGTCTTCACTCTCCTGTTCATCCTTAGTTTACATTTGCAAACAATTTAGAAGAAGAAAGTTTTGTCTCTCTTTTTTTCTGATGAACCTTCTATAAATGTGTTGATTTCCTAAATGAAAATAATTTAACATCCTTTACAGGGTCCAAACTTAACTGCAGCTTTTTCTGCAAATTTTTTAGTGCACAATTCTATGTCTATGCCAAGTTCAACATTTTGTAAAAACATAAAACAAAAAATATAAAAATGTGCCATAACATTTCCACACACCATTTCAGAAGTGTAAAATTCCCAGGATTTTGTTCCAACAGCCTCTCTAGTTAGATCAAACCACCAACAGAGCTGTCCAGGCAGTTGGAACAAAATCCTGGGAAGGATTTTTACTTTCTGGACCTGAATTTTACACCTCTGCACCACATTATGTATTATCCCCCGGGGGGAAAAAAAAAAATCAGGAAACAAACAGTACACATTAGGGGTGTGAATCTCTCCCTTTTAGGAGATTTGCAATACAAAATGATACAGTTAAACAGGTAACAATTAAATTCACGTCCATTCATTAGTGAGCCGTTATGATTCAGTTCAGCATCGATGATTCAGGTCTGGTCCAATATGTTTCAGTTAAGTTAAATTCAACATGTATTATTGTGTCCCCATTTCAATTCAGTTAAGAAATAACCCCTTCAAAACATTTCTTCACTAACTTTGTCAATCAACTGGTACATTTAGCTTTAGTTATTGCCTTTGACCAGCTAGAATTGATTGGGAGCTCTGAATGAAACTGCTAATTCTAGCTTTACCTGTTGTATCTTTGGCTAAAGCAGCAGGCTCACCTTCGGTTAGCATTACAAAATGCCGCCTCCGTAAGTATGTAGCAAGGTTTGTGATGCTGCCAGCATACTTGATGGAAGTTTTGTAAGTTTACTGGCAGTGCTTTGTCAAGATGTCCTGCCGAACTTCTGCTGAATCTGAAGTATTACCAAACTTTTGACTTTAGAATTGGTGGGGCATCGCCAACTGTCTCCTCCAGTTTCCTCTGTGTTTGTAAGCAACAAAGAATAGGGGGAGGAGCAATCGCACACGTGTGCATTCTTGTTTGTTTTTTCTTTCTTTCTTTCTTTCACACACACACACACACAAGTAGACTGTCGTGTGAATTGACTTGAGGACTGTATCGATTTTAGTTGTTCTCGTTTGGAATAGAATCCAAGGTTATAAATCGATGCAGCCATATCGGAGATCATTGGACTGACTTACCAATTCAAATACTTTGAATTGGTAAGTCAATCTTAAAATGCTTTAAAATGTGCAGATGCATGTTCACCATATCTACAGTTTAAATTGATGATTGCACAATCACTGACCCAACCAGCATCACCTCTGCCATTACTGTGCTTTTACCTGGTGCTGGTTTGCGGCCCTTGCCCTTAGGTGCTGGAGGGAGTAACTCCACCTCCTCCTGGGGCATCAAGGCCACTTTCTGCAGGAAAATCTTCTCCAAGGCTTGAGCCATTAAAACAATGTCATCTGTTGGCTAGTTGAAAGAAAAAAAAAAAAAGAAAACAAAGAAAACAAGCAAATAAACATGAGACCTGAACAATGAAGTTTAACTTATAAAGACAAAACAGTTTCTGAATAACAGTTTATAAAAACTATCAATGTTTACATACCAGGGAGCTATAAAAGTAAAGATGTGAAACAGAAAAGTGAATAAACTTACCTTATTGTAGATGTAACAGTTGGTAAACATTGTATTGAAGTCTTGCATGCACTCGCTGGCACTCCAGTAGTACACATTCTCCAGTCTTTTCTTGATGGTACCCATATCCATTGGATTTTTTATTATCTTGTGATAATCCTAACAGACATACATTATACTTATGATTATCAAAGCAGACTTCATATTTACACTCCTAAAGACAGGCAGTGTTTAATGGACAAATATAGGATTTGAACCATAAAGCAAATATTTAACAGCTTGAAAAAGACATTTATTCTCTTAGGTCCAACACTCCAAGAACTTTCTAAGCCGGACGGAAACTAAATGACCATACTTGTAAATGTGAAAACCAAAATACTGTCTGGTAAAACAACCTCAACAGAACTCTACAGTGATCAACATACAACATCAATTTACCTAGAAATATTTATGACAGTTTCCCAGGAGCTGTTTCCTAAACATGACATACATCACTAAAGTCAGATAATGCAACCATTCAAATCAAACATAAAAGTACTCACCGGCAGTCCCAGCTTGATAGCATCAACAGGCTGGTAGAAGGGCCATGCGAACTGATGTCTCCACAGCGTCTTGACCACTACATTTTGCATGTACTGTAGCTGATTAGTCTTGCGGCCAGGTTTAGTGGGGTTTGTTACCTCAGGAGGCGGGGGGTTGACAATCTGAGGAGGGGTTGAAGTAGCTGAGGTGACATCCGACATTTCGGTTCAGGAAAAGGCGGTTTGCTTGCTCTGCACAAGACGTAGGCTAATATGTATTTTTCAAAAGACACTTGCGCTGGTTTTCTCTTTTTCCTTCACTCATCCAAGAGGGACTACATCCCATCGCAGGACCTGACCTTGTAACCTCTGGGGGGTAAAAAACAAGAAATGAAAAACAGCACACGTTGCGCAGTTATGTACATTTACTACAGACATGATGTGATGCAGGCAATGAAAATCCTCCCTTAACAAATCATCTATAAAACAGCACTGCTATCGAGCACAACAGGAAGGCAAAGCATTAAGATGATGGTGACCTAACATTTTCCAAGTACTGTAATTACCCAATAACACATGAAAACAGAAGCTCTCTAACAATGTGTCAGAAAATGCTCTTCCTGTAGTGATTCAAAAGAAAACAAAACAATGAAGAAACAAGTAACCAACTCTCTTCACACAATACCTGACTCCATTCAGTATTTTTGGAAACAAAGCTAAGCACAAAACAAAGCAAATATTACCAAACAGAAGATGAACTTCACAGCTGAGTAATATTGCATAAACGTAAATCCTGCAAGAACATAAGGCCAATATGCACCAGCGAAAGTAACTGGAAAAATCAGTGCATTTGACTCCTTTGGCTGTCTAACGTCAAACACATTAAAAGAGAAGTTTTGTTAAATGTGTAACAACATCATACAAAAAGGTTAGACTTGTTGTACGAACACAGGTTTAACAAGTACACTTTATAACTTAGTGCCCAACTTTTGCAGCTATGACTCAGACCACACAGTTCACGTTGACCTCCCGCGTAAACAGTAGCTAACAAACCAGCTCTTGCTAGCTGGCTTTCCTGTCTCTCTACGGCCGACTGACATCGTTCATTCATTCCCAAACCAGAGAGCCTAAAGCTGACAGGACGGCACAGCACATTAAGGCGGCACCACGGTGCCAACTCAGTCAAAATAAAGACATTAAAACTGGGCCGAACAGGGAAGAGTAGTGCCTACACAAACTAGCGAACACAGTTATCGGCAGACTCCTGCTAGCTCGGTTAACAAACTAGCGTTAGCAACATTAGCATACGAAGCTACCTGAAGTCCAAAAAACAGCTCAATACTAAAATAAACACCTAATGAAGCTGAGCAAGAAATGAACAAAAAACAGGACACAGTCCGTAGAGAAAGGACAGTATGTTCACGACGAACCAGTCAGCTTGCTAGTTGGTTTGTTAGCGGACTTAGCTTAGCATAGTCTGGTACATTTTAGCGTTAAACCTGCTAGCTTAGCTTAGCTAAACGTCGCAGCTAACGCTAGCAACCTCCATCAGAAAGATGGCGGGCAGTTTAAGCTAACAGGCTAAGTTAGCCATCTCGCTAGCGAATGTAGTCCAGTTTATTCGCGAAGCCTAAAATATCTGGAAATACAGATACGCGACCAAACGCTGGTGTAGAAATAAGCACAAAACGGGACAAAAGGTAGAAAAAAAACTTCACGAACTAGGACGTTTTCCAGACGTAAGACAGGTTGGCGTTATTAAAGCAGAGTCAGGCGTTTTTCTCGTATTGTTTGCAGCACAGACGAAGCTTTGTTGAAAACAATGCTAGCCAGCAGCTCGCTAAGTTGCTAACGTTATAATGTTACAGAGCATACAGCAAAAGCACAAGACGTGGTTATCCATTAGTTACCCTCTCGGCATATTCGTACCGCATTACTTTGCGTGTAAAGCACGTATGAAGTAAAGAAAAGGGAAAATGTAAGTAGCTGTATTACTTTTTTGGGGCTCCGAGGGCCGCTGGCTGCTGCTGCTGATCCGCGCCGCTGCTGTTATTTGGAGGTAGCAGCAGCACAAGAGGGCACGAAGCTCTGTGCGCATGCGCGCTGGCGCCTCTTTCACCGTGGGACTGTTGATGTACACCGAGCAGCCATAACATTAAAACCACCTGCTTGTTTCTACAGTCACTGTCCATTTTATCAGCTCCACTTACGATATAGGTGCATTTTCTAGTTCTACAATTACACATTGTACTCTGTCTGTTTCACTGCATACTTTATTAGCCCCCCTCTTTTCCCTGTTCTTCAATGATCAGGGCCCCTACAGGACCACCACAGAGCAGGAATTATTTGTGTGGTGGATCATTCTCAGCACTGCAGTGAGTGATGTGGTGGTGGCGTGTTAGTGTATGCTGTGCTGGTGCGAGTGGATCAGACACAGCAGTGCTGCTGGAGTTTTTAAACAGTGTGTCCACTCAATGTCAGACACACCTACCTTGTTGTTCCACCTTGTACATATAAAGTCAGAGACAGTAGCTCATCTGTTGCTGCGCAGTTTGTGTTGGTCATCCACTAGTCTTCATCAATTGTCACAGGTTGCTGTTGGCTGGATCTGATCCACTCATACCAGTGCAACACACACTAACGCAAGACACACAACTACAGTCAGTGGTACTGCAGTGCTGAGAATGATCCACCACCCAAACAACACTTTCTCTGTGGTGGTCCTGTGGGGCCCTGAATATTGAAGAACAAGGTGAAAAGGGGCTAACAAGTATGCACAGAAACAGATGGACTATAGTCTGTAATTGTAAAATTTACCTAAGTGCCTAAATGGTGAGTGGAGTTAATAAAATGGACGAGTGTAGAAACAATGAGGTGGTTTTAATGTAATGACTGACAATCACAAGCAGTGCCTTAAACAGTCCTTATAATTAATTACGCTGCCTGTGTATTAATAATTAATACACATCCACACATATATATATATATATATATATATATATATATATATATATATATAGTATAATTATAGATACACACACAGCTTAATTAATTATAAGGACTGTTTAATGCACTGCTTGTGACATCCTTGTCGTTGTCAAATGTCATGCCAGAAACGATCAAATTTCCCTTATTAGGGATTAATGAACTATATGCAAGTATATTTATATGCAAACTGTATTTCTACACCTGTTTTAAATGTATGTCCTTTGTGCTTGCTCTGTTTTTGTGGTTGCTAAATGCCATGTCAACATTTGCCTCATTAAGGATTAATAAAGCATCAGATGTGAGTAGTAACCCCTCACATTTGAGTTACACATACTTAATTAATGTTTTTGACAGATTTGTGCTTTCTGAGTCGGTTCAATTGATAAGACTTGATGAACCTTTTACTTACTGTGCTTCATTTCAGTCATTACCATGTAGTTACTAATTGCTTTCGTTCTGTTTAATTTCATTGTTATGTTGGAGACAGTGTTGACACTGCTTGACGACTGGTCACACCTCTCTCCTTTGAGGTTTATTATTTTATTTCAGAGTAAAGCAACATCAAAAAGAGAGAAGAATGGAGCCCAACAAACTACAGTTTCTATGCTGATAGATGCTGGATGTGCTCAGAAGTACATCCACTGTAGTTGTAGTGCTCAGCTGCTACTTTTGTAGCTCTAATCAGAATCACTTTATTTCTGCAAGTATGTTACACATACAAGGGATTTGCCCTGGTGAGTGCACACATGCATGACATGTGACATACTAAACAGAGCAGACAACACACAGACCATTAACAAGTATTAAAATAAGTGAAAAATAAAATATAATACAATAAATAGAATAAAGTATAGAGAATAATAATAAAAATAGCTAATGGGAAAAGAGCTCAGGAGATGCACATATGAGATGTGGGAATATCTGTACATATGCAGATATGAATTCTGTCTGTCTGCAGGACAAGTAGACATACTATAAAATATGCTGTAAAAACGATTATATGCAGAATATTACAGAGCGATGATGAAACATGTACTTGTACAGTAGTGCTAAGCATTATGCTACAGGAGGAGTTATACTCTAATACTGTAATGAAGGTTTGCTGGTTCAGTTTAAGTTCAACGTATGAGGTGTCCACTGTGGTTGATGGACCCTACAGCTCTGGGGAAAAAAGCTGTCAGCATGTCTGGTTGTGCTGGTTGTGATGGCCCTGAATCTTCTACCAGAGAGAAGCGGCTAGAAGAGGTGATGTCCAGGATGAGAGGGGTCAGCTCTTATTTTGCTGGCATGCTTCATCACCCTGCTGTTGTACATGTCCTGAAGCGTTTGCGGACTACATCCAATGATCCTCTTCACTGCCCTGATTAAATGCTGGAGTTTTCCACTCAAGTTTGTTTCTTGGAGAGATTTTTGTTTACAGAAGTTTCAGTACTTTTACTTAAGTATGGGTTTAGACTACTCTACACACCTCTGGTAACCATATACAGACAGATAGACAGATAGACAGACAGACAGACAGATGTGCTTGTCCACGCGCTTCAACATAAAAAGTTGCTCTATGTATTGCTTGTGTTATGCTTTTAGTTGTTGAATGCCATATCAGAGATTATCAAAATTTCCCTTGTTAAGGATCTATGAAGCATAAGAACCACATACAAACTATTTCTAAACAAAAAAAGCAAGTAAATGAATTAATTAAATAAATAAATAAATAAATAAAAAGCAAGCAAGTTTGACCATGCGCAACATCAAAAAGTTGTTGTGTGGATGCTGAACATATATTTTTTAAATATTGTATTGCCTGTTTTATTCTTTTAGCTTGAACAGATTATCAAAATTTCACTTACTAAGGATTAGGGAAGCATAAGAAACAAACACAAACAATATTTCTAAACAAATGACAAAAATAACTGAAGGAAAAAACAACCAAACAAGTAAACAAATAAACTGTATTAAAATTCAACATATTACTTGCTAAAATAGGAGAAATATAAGACCCAAAGCTCCGTAAAGCCTGTGAAAGCCTGCCTATTAAGATAGTCCTCTCAGGCTTGCCGTTGTGATTGTTTCTCCTTCCCTCCATGGTGGCGCTGCTCTCTCTGTCTCTCCATGATGCCACATTTCCCCGCCTGAGCCCGCAGCAGCTCCACCATCAAACACGGCTCAGTCAATGTAAACACAAAACGTGGTGTCTTTTCTACATATATGCATCAAAACCTATCGGGGCCAGCTTCTCGGATCCTTCTTAGGTTTTATAAAAGATCGGTCCGAAGCACAGAGACCGGCGGTGAGTGGCGAATTCAGTTAATCTTTTATTGTTTGAATGGAGGTGAAGAGGAGCTGCATGTGAGAGAAAGGAAACCATCAGACAGACTGGCTAACACGAAGCTGAGATCAGCTTCTTGTTCGAACTTTCCCGGTCCACCTTAAATAATGCACCAGTTGGATTCTGCCCGAGGCGCCAGAATGTAACGGCTGCCGTATTTAAGGTGGAACGGGTAAATTCGAAAAAGAAGCTGCCGAATAGAATGCTAACGTTAGCCAGCCTGATTTAGAGGACTGGATATAAAACTAGTCGACCAGTTTGGGGAGACAAACGCCAGTTAAATGCTTTCTCATACATTTTGAACGGAGATTAGATTAATCTGGAGGAGATAATCTTGTATTAGCTCGCTATAACCGACGTTAGCTAGCCCGCTAATGTGTTAACATGTCTTATTTAGCTCGCTAGCTAGTCAAGCCCTTTAGGCCTCCTTTAGCTTCTGGCTAAAATCAGTAGCGGCTTCTAACTTATCTAGCGTTAGTTTTTCTGAGAAGTTTGGTGCCTGTAACCTACAAATGTAGGTTCTACACGTGTTGTTAACCCTTTAAGGCATTCAGTGAGTATCGAAATCCTTCAATAATGTCAAATAATAGATCTTTTATTGTATTTTGTGAACTCGAGCACTCAGGAATGTGAGTCTAAAAGTGCAGAGGAGAAGCAATTTTAAATTAGTTGTGGTCAGTAAGCGCTGCCCTGTAGCATTTTACTCTTATTTTAATTATTGTGGGTTATTTACTGTGGGAATGCAATGAATAAATGTGTAAGACGTAAAGTGTAAACTGCTCTGTGTCCTGCTTCTCTATGTTTTGATAAATTCATATTTTCCAGTAAAAGGAACCAAAGCAGCTCTCCCTGATGGGACAATGGCTAAAAGACCAGGGGCTCCATATATAGAAAAAATAGAGAGAGAATGGATTTAAATAGAGAATTTTTTTTTTTCATAAAGCAATGAAGTGTTTGACTTCTAAGATATTGCATCTGTTTTTCTGTAGTAGCAGCATCAACACATTTCATTTTTAGGCTCATATTCACTTACAAAATGTGCTCCTTTAAGGGTTCTTTAATAAAGGGAATGTTCTATCTAGAACAGTGAGTTCTAAATAGAACTATTTCATGCTTAAATGTTTTTTTTGCATGGTGAAATGGTTTTTCATATTGATGGAGAATGTGTTGTGTGCTTCTGTGTTGAACCTTTGGGAAAATGGTTCTATATAGCGTCAAAAAGGGTTCTTCTATTGGTACAACGTTGACAATTTAACAATAGAAGAACTCCTTTTGGTGCTATATAGAACCCTTTTTTAAGTATATAGATGCAACACTTTTTTGTATGTAGTGTGTAGATAATACATATACTTTTCTTAGGTAGGATGCTGTCAATACTAAATTAATAAGTCAGTTATAGCAGTACAGTGATTTTATTTTCTTTCTCATACATATTAGACATACCCTGCTAACACCAGCTCCATCATAACCTGGTAGTTCACTGTGGAGTTCTGCCGTGGTCAACGTCCTTCGTTCCTTTTAGAGCGCAAAGATGCACTGATATTGAAGTTGTGGGCTGAGGACGATATTCAATAAATAAACATACATAAAATATAAAAATTGGGACTACATCTACCTGGACTAGCATTATGGAGAAAAGTTTTATTTATTTGCAGTGCGTTACAAATGCAGTAAAATGAATTAAATGCAGACATCTTAGTAGCCCAGCGTCACCTAAACATTTTCCTCTTCCAGACCACAATAAATATGACATCAAATATCGTGCAGATCTAAATATCTGCTTGTTGATGCTAATTTTCAAAGCAATTGTATGCCAGTACAGATATGATTCTGATATTGTGCTTTCCTGTTCGAGTGGGAATGCTTTGCTTTGGTGGTTTCAGTGATTTGTAGGTTTTTGTTACAACCAAGATGTCCAATACCTGAAGTACTAGTGTGATTTGATTTATTTGTGATTTATTTTTTCCCTGTAATTGTCTGCTTAATTTCAGTTGTTTATATTTTTTCGTTTAGCAAAGTACATATGAACCAAACTGGCTGATTAAAGTAATTACTTCATTCATTCATCCATTGTTTGTAGTACAAGTAGAAGCTTAGTTATCCTTTTGAAAACACACAAAATTGGTTAATTCGAGGCTTCACTGTGTGCTTGCGTGTGTGTTACAGGGTTGAAAAATCAGCCAACGACGTAGTTTCATTTCAGAATTCCTTAAATAGCACTTTCAAGAGTTTTCCTCTCTTTTTCTTTCATATGTTGTTGTGAGTGGATTTTACACATACAGAAATATTAGTGATTATATTATGATTAATAAGACTATTATAATTTATTATAGAAATAAAAGTATTTTGCTGTTGTCGTATCTCCATTTTTGATGTTTTTCAGTTTTTGACATAATTTAGAGATATCTTGTGCTTTACATTGTTTGTAAATTTCATGATGAATGGGCTAAAAGAAATGACCTAAAATGACTCGGAAAAACTCTGGTTCCATTGAAAGTAAAGCAGGTTTTTTCCTTCTCCTGTAAAGTTATCATTTTGGACATACAAGGTTTTCTTCCGACAACAGTGATTTGTTGACAGTATACATCAGTTGTTATTCTTATAAATCTTTAATTGTTGCAAACGGATGTACATTTTACTCTAAAAAGCTCTTCAAATGCCTGAATATGTTTTAACTTGCATCCATTTCTTTTATGTTTTTGTGTTGTTGTGAGTCACTCTTTTTTTTAAAACAGAGAAACCAGTGACATATGGTGGTGAAAGTTAATCTAATCTAGACAGTTTAGTTATAGAAGTTGTTTAAAGTCATCTAGTTAGCAGGAAGAAAATTTTGAATGAAGCGAAGAGATGGTTAAAACAAATATTTGTATGATTTAACAGATTAAAAATAAAGATAAGGCAAGAGTTTCCCATATGATTGCCATAATAATTAATCTCACATCAGCTCCTTCACTCTCTTTTATCATTAAGTCATTATATGAATGTTTGAATCATGTTTTGTTGATGATTTATTTTTTATTTTGTAGTTTGGCTGAGGCAGAACCTGTTCCTCTTAATCTGTTCCCTGTTGCTTGGTCACTATGGCAACTGAAGAGAAGAAGCCAGAAACTGAAGCGACTAAAACACAGGCGTCCTCTGCTGCGTCCGCCAGCCAGAGCAAGGTGAGGAACCAAACGCCCTGTAGACAAAAGGAAGGTCTGAGCTGAGTTCTGTGTAAGAAAGATCTCACTTTAACCCACCAGTTAGGTCTTGGGCAGTTGTATTGAAATAAGCATGATATGACTCATTTTCTTTTTTTCAATTAAAATTAGAAAATTATAACATTAAAATAGATTTTCAGAGGTGCTATGACTTGCATTTCATTATGAGGTCAGTTTTGTTTTATTAGGTGTGCTGAGTAAATTATTTTTCAAGAACCTATCAGAATGTTCTTTTCTTTCCTCACCTTTTCTCTCCAGTGTAACTAGCCCACGTTCATCGAACCTGCTGTTTATGATTTCAAATGACCCAGCTCATGCCGTAACTCATTGTCTTCTTAACTGTTTTAATCGTTCTTCCTGATTTAGTCAGCACCTGTGAAGCCCAACTACACTTTGAAGTTCACGTTAGCTGGCCACACAAAAGCAGTCTCATCTGTCAAGTTCAGCCCAAGTGGAGAATGGCTTGCCAGCTCGTGTAAGCTTGTGATTTTTATTAATGTTGCTATACCTCCGTCTCAGCTGTGAAGTTACAGAGAAAGATGGTTAGCAACATTGTACTTCAAGTTATTAAAGGCCAGAAAATGTTGCAGAATGTTATGGTGAATTAGATAACAAGGAAGCCGTTGGGATGAGAACAAGGAAATTTAAGTATGGGTAATTGCCCTCATCCTCCCTTCTTAGTCCTTGGGGTTGGTTCCAAATAAGACAAATTAGGCCTTCTCTACAGTACGTTGATCACAGAGGCACTAAAAAAAAACATGGAACATGGAAACATGAATTAATTTTGTTTTCCAAAAGTTCAAGTTATTTATGCTATTATGAGAAGATAAATGTTTTTCCCTGAAATTAGAGGAATAGATTAAGTGAGTAGGTGCTTCTTTTTCTGTGTGCTGGACTTTAATATTAAAATATTACTTCAGACACACTCTTTTACAAAGCTGGCCCAGGACATGTTTGGTTGTTCAAGAAAAGTTGTTCAACAATTGTTTAATGTTGGCACTAATGTTGGTCACTGCTACATCTTGTAGTGTTCATAATTGACTTTTTTTTCAGCTGCTGATAAGCTCATCAAAATATGGGGAGCCTATGATGGAAAGTTTGAGAAGACAATATCTGGGCACAAACTTGTAAGTTCATTAAAAGAGGCCAGTTTGGCACAATATTAATGCCCATCACTCAGAATTACTGCCAAGTAACCTCCAGTACACCTTCATTTTACTTTTTACGTTTTACCACACCTTTAGGGTATTTCGGATGTGGCCTGGTCCTCTGACTCCAACCTCCTTGTCTCTGCATCTGACGACAAAACCCTGAAGATATGGGATGTGAGCTCTGTAAGTCACACTGCATGGAACAAACCTGAGCTCATACAAGTAGTACCACGATATGGAGTATAGCACCGACCTATCATTAGGCCAGATCTATAATAAAGCATTCACAAAACGAATAACTACAAATTTTCAAAGATCAAAACGAGAGTACCTGTGCAGTGTTCAACATTAACAATTGCCTGGATGCCCATGGCAAGTAAAATGCCAATTCGGGACAGCAGTGTTGAAAATCACAGCTGATGATTTGACGCTTTCATGGACAATTGATTTGCTGAACATACCTGATGCTGTCTTCATTAGCTTTCACTTCCAAACAGCCCCCTCGCTGTGGAAAAATTGGTCTCGTCCAGCTGTGGAGAGTTAAATCTAGCTAATGGCATTGTTTGTTGATAAGCGTTTAACAAAAGTGTGACATGTCATTCAAAAGGATGGTATAAAAAGGCTTCTTTGGGTCAGTTTTGAAGTGATGTTGAGATGATTTTCACTGTTTGTAGGTCTTATATTAATAATGCAGACAAAACCAGAGTACTATTGCTTATAGAAGGATTTTTTATAGTAGTCAAAGTTTCTGTGATTTTGTGTTTATGAGCAAAAAAGGCCTCACTCGCCAGCAGCGCTAGACGTGTACAACGAATGTACACAACAGTACATTTAATGAACAATGCATAAGATTCACACTCATACATGCCCATCCTCATTTTAAGAAACAGTTAATTGCCATAAAGAAATAATTTATTTGAAATTGATTTATGTTTGTTAAATGTTTTTAAAAATGTGTTTTTAACACTATGAACTCTTTTCAGGGCAGTAAACTCTGGGTTCACTTGCTCAATTGACCAAATTAGGGAAAATTTTAATGTGGAACCGTGCTGTGACTTTATTTTGAAGTGGTATGATTTTGGCTTGCTTGTGGACTGTAATGTTTTTATTTTTATAGGGAAAATGTCTGAAAACCTTAAAGGGCCACAGCAACTATGTGTTCTGCTGTAACTTCAACCCCCAGTCCAATCTCATAGTATCTGGATCAGTAAGTTCATTAATTACAGCATTCCTTGGTAGCCTCTTTTTTCCTCAACACTTTACATTAGACACATCAGCAGGGCTGTCACAATTACTTAATTAACTAAACTCAACACTTTATAACTGTTACTTAATTAAAGCAATGCTTGATTAAAATGTAGCTTCTCAGTGAATCAGCAATAATTTATTGGCAGTTTGCAAGATGATAAATTCTCTCACTGTTCTCTCTTACAGTAATAAAGTCTGATAGACAAACCCGTTTATATAGTTTGGCAGCTTGTATGTAGTCTACAGTGACAGCCCTACACTTAAGTATTATAACATTCAGTGCTACTCCATGCAGATGTATAAATCTGACAGTGATTTTCTCTCATTAGTTTGATGAGAGCGTTCGAATATGGGATGTTAAGACAGGGAAGTGTCTGAAGACTTTGCCGGCCCACTCTGACCCTGTCTCCGCAGTGAGTATCCATGTTCTCTGACCACTCACTTGGCCATCAGAATGAGTCACAAACAGTAAATATGCAAATCTGCAGTAGTGACATGGCACAGTAATCCCCAAATAGTGTATGAGAAAGCTAATATGCGCAACCTTTTGTTACAGGTCCATTTTAACAGAGATGGATCTTTGATTGTTTCCAGCAGCTACGATGGACTTTGGTGAGTAAATCTGGCAGCAAGCCATCAGTTTATCCCAGCACCTTGTATTACACATGTCAGACTTCAGTCCTGGCAGGTCACAGCACTGCAGACTTTACCGTTTTGCTCATTTACCACAATTAAATCAACTCATCAGTAATTAGCTTCTTCATGAGTTTAATTCAGGCCCTGAGTCTCAAATTGAGTACATCCGTAGTGTACTGGTCACTGTTAGTGCAGGTATTGTGTTCACCCTGGAAAAGGAACTGGGATGTAGTGTGCTGTTGATACCTGCTGCAGCAATGACGTGTAGATTGTTGCACGCTGTTTGCGCTTCACAGGCTTAGACTGTTGTATACAGCAGAAAGGGAGGAGCCATGAGAGGCTGCCGCAGCTTGGTATTTCATATGGAAGTTAAGGCCACCACACACTGGGTATGCTGAACAGTGTTGTGCAGAAGATACAGTACAAAGCGCTGCTTGGAAATGCAGTTATAACATGCTATAAATGTAACTGGTCATTTTATGTTGTAGTTAACTGTAGCTTGCTTGGTAGGCAAACTTGTAACCTAGGCATGATTCAGTGTTGTGAGGTAGTACTGTATGATAATTCATCATTTCTGTTTAGTGCAAGCCATTAGTGTTGATTTTAAATGATACAAAAATCCAAGCTCTAGAGAGATGTACATGGTATATATTTTAAGAATATAGTGCATAAAGCCCATATGAGAGACACAGAAGGTGTTAGAAGAGGGACTATGCTAATCTCTGCAGTACTGTGGCCTGGATGGAACCCAGTTCGGCATTCCTGATGTTGTAGCTCTTTGATCTGTTGTGTGTAGACTAAGAACCTGTTAAATGAGTATTGTAGATGAAGCTGTTTAGGGATGCAAATAGCAAATATTTAATTTTCTTATATTCTATGGAATACTATGTTGAAAAGAAAAGCTTGTTTCCTTTTATTGATTGAATAAAAAACATAACAGATTATAATTATTATAGTTATTATTGTTATTAATATTAATGTGCATTTGTGTGTCATTATATAAATTATTTAAATTGTTTTGCTTTTGAATGAAACTCATTTGGATTGCACCTGGTGTTAGGACTGCTCTTGTTGAGTTGGATGTTGTGTGACATTTATTAATATTTCAATGACTGCATCCAGTTATTGAATATTCTTTACAGACTTAATGCTGTTTAAAGTCAGACACATGACTAATGCTGATATTTATGCATTTACAGCCGTATTTGGGACACAGCATCAGGCCAGTGCCTTAAAACGCTCATTGGTAAGTCTTCAATAAGCCATTGTACTGTGGAAAATAGTCTTAAATCCTTTAAATTAATATAATGGTATTCATGTAGCATCCTAACTGTGCGTATATTTCTCAGACGATGATAACCCTCCTGTGTCCTTTGTGAAGTTTTCCCCCAACGGCAAATACATTCTGGCTGCCACACTGGATAAGTGAGTAACAGCCCTCCTGCTGTTCTGAGCTGCTAATGCTGCCACTCTGCCAAAGTCACTCAGTGTTACTCTTTGAATGACATTTAAGGCTAATAATTAGTATTAGTAGTTTCAGGGTTATAAGAATTATTTATTTCAGCTTTTTTCTCTTTTTTTTTGCCTTACAGTACCCTGAAGCTTTGGGACTACAGCAAAGGAAAGGTAAGGATGTTACAGTCATTCCAACTCTGACTCCTACCGATCTGGCTGTATTCTCGTATGTTTGAAATGATGATGCATTGTCATGGAGATGTCAGTGGTGTGAAGATTTCACCCAGTTGAACAAACCGCACTGAATTAAGAAGTCATTTAAACCCTTGCTAGCTAGATCAAGGCTTGATACTAATTCGCAGTCAATGACATTTGGTAACTTGAGTCATGTTATTTAGCTGCTGTTTACCTAAATAAGTGGTTTGTAATTTAAATAGAGACGACAACTTTAATTGTCCTTTTTAGAGCTAAACAATTTGGAAGAAGTATCCAATGGTCATTTTTCTTCCCAATATTGTGATTGTGATTTAATTGCAGGTTTTTGTCTGTTGTTGGGTAATTTACCACAGCATAACTAAGATTAAAGTTTAGAAATTTATGGAAAACGCCCGTTCATAATTTCTGTGACGTGATATATCCCGAAAACTGAAAAGAGGAGTTAACTTTTGACATTGAGTTTTGAAAGTAAAATAGATTACAAAGGTTAATCAGAAAAATATTTTTCAAGATTACAGAAATATGACAAAGGAAACATAATTAAAATAATGGATAAAAATAGAGAAAAATAATCTGTTTGTCAGCATGTTCACACAAACAACCTCTACACACGAAGGCTTAGATAAGTCAAAAGCAGAAGAAATCAGCAGGCTAAAACTCTAAAAGTTGAGGGAGGGAGAGGGGGAGAGAGAGAGAAAAAGAGGGAAAAAGAAAGTGTACCTGCAGGTGTTTTCCCCCAAACACAGATTGGTCAAAGCAGTTGTACGTTTATGCAAATTTTATATAAATTAGTCAGTCTGTGAATACAGATGCTGATTCATCATGACAGATCAAAATGATTTTAATGCAGACTTGGATTGGTTCAGAAACTGAGCACAGTGTCACTGGTTAGATTCAGTCAACAAATATTGTCCCTCATGTACATCTTAATGACGTCAGCAAGAGTCGCTCTCAGTCAGAAGATCGAAGATTCCCTAATGGTCACCTTTCACCCAGTTATATGATGATGGAAATTCCCTGTTCCAGCTTCTGAACCACGGGCCTTCTCCATGTCTGGTAGGATAGATTGGAGATGGGCATGAGTCCTGATCTCATGTCACAGCGGCCTTCTCAAGGAACAAGCACAGGCCTTACAGAGACACATAATAATGGCTATTATTCCAAAGTTAAAGAAATTAATTCTTAAGAAAAATAGTCTATATAAAAAAGATTCAATTTTGATTACGGAAAATAGTTTACATCCCTTTCATGTAAATAAAAAAAAAGGCAGCAAATTGCGATTTTGATATTAAAGTGATTAATTGTTCAGCGCTACATCCTGTCATAACCCATTTCTCTTTCCTTTAGTGCTTGAAAACGTACACCGGTCATAAAAACGAGAAATACTGCATATTTGCCAATTTCTCAGTCACAGGCGGCAAGGTAAGTATTCCTGTTTCTCTCTTATTTTTACATTCCTTTTTCGTTTTTTTGATGTTATTTTTTTCTAATTAATTTGAAGAATTGAATTTAAATGCAAGCATATGCACATCGACTGATGGGAAATTATTTTCCTGTAGTAGGTCTCTCACAATTATTGCGTAATTGTTTGCAGTTATTTGAGCTGATCATAATCATTTAAGCTGGTTATAATTATTTTCCACCGTTGATTGTGGTCAAATAACATGTTTTGTTAAGTACACATCCTGTACAGAGAACGCACATCAGCATTTTAATGCACAGTTAGTGTTTATTTGCTGAATTTAACAAAAATAATAAAGCATAAAATGTGGCTGGTGCAGCAGAAAAATAGAAATTATGCCTTAAAGTTTGCAGAAAATTGCAATTTTAAGTTTGTTCCCTAAAGAGGGTTTGTTAACTTATTTTCACTTAGAAAATCAACGAAACATGTCACTTGATCAGGGGTATTTATCTTTTGCTCATGACTGTATATTCAAGCTACCACAAATAGAAAGAAAATTGGGTGGGTTTTCATCAGTTAGGATGAGGCATATCATGTTATTAAGACACGTCTGGGGGTATTCCACAAAGTGAGCTTATAAAAAACACAATTCTTTGAATTAGTCCCGCTCAATTTAGCCTCACAGTTGACTCCAGGCTCAGTTGATTCTGCTAACAAGATCTAGGTGTGATCTGTTCCTGCTAACTTAAGCTGCGATTCAGTAATCAAGACTCTTGCATGTGCATGAGATATTAAAGCAGCCTAGAGAGTTGATGCAGGTACAATGATATATCAGCTAAAAAAAAAGCACAGAAAATAACCCAAAAATATTATTCAATGCGTTTACGGATGTTTAGTTTGTTTTAGGCATGCAAGTAATACTTAATGCACATAATTCTTACTTAATACTTGAATGTAATACAATTACAGATTTAAAAAAACTCCATACATGGTGTGTCCTAATATCCTCCACTGTCATCATCCTAATATCATTTACTTTTGACTAGTACTGTAACTAGTGACGAGTAATTTTTGTTTGTGAGCTCAAACTGTTTCTGTCGTCAGCCGGTATCTATTAATTAGCGATACCAATCAAGATGGTCAAGATGGCTAATCAGCCAGTTCAGACTTGTAATTTTATTACAATTATTAATTGATTACAAAAAAGTACAAAAAAGATGAATAACAAAAAAAGATAAATTGTTAATTGCGGTTATTGATGTGGAAAGAAACGGCTCTCTAAAATGTCATTATTGTGACAGGCCTGCTAGATGCTGCTTATGGTTGTTTATATATATATATATATATATATATATCTTCTTTGTTCATTCAAGTTAATGTGTTAGATTTAAGAGTAAACAAAACTCTCTCTCTCTCTCTCTCTCTCTCTCTCTCTCTCTCTCTCTCTCTCTCTCTCTCAGTGGATTGTCTCTGGCTCAGAAGACAACATGGTTTACATCTGGAACTTGCAGACCAAGGAGATCGTACAGAAACTACAGGGTCACACAGGTAAAGAATATATATGGCAGAACAGTTGCTAAACGCTGTTTTGGCTGAGTGCACATGATCATCAGTCACATAATGGGCAGTATAGTGACGTCTCTCTAATTCATTAATCTTTTGGGTTTTTTTTCTAGATGTGGTGATCTCAACTGCCTGCCATCCCACAGAAAACATCATTGCATCAGCAGCACTAGAAAACGACAAGACCATCAAACTGTGGAAAAGCGACTGCTAAGCTATGCTAATATATGCTTGAGCAGGCTTATTTTATTATTGTATTTTTTGTTGTTTCTTTTTTTAATTTTGTACTTTTCATTTTTGGGGGAAGAAGGACTTCTATCATCAAAAAGATGACACCAGGCTGTCCGTGCTGGTGATAGCTTGATCTTGGTCGGCAAGAAGGATGGATGATGGTATAAGCACATGTCCAGAGCACCCAACACACCACTCCTGTTAACTGTTTCTGTGCACTAAAACAGTCTCCACTCTCTCTATCTCTCGCTGCCTTACCCCAACATAAGCTGGATGTTTCCTTCTTTTTCTCCAATTAAACCCTCAAAGCTCCCACTTGTGTACTCTGGCAAACCTTTACACTTTGGTCTTTTAGATCTAGGCAGCTTTGACCGAACAACCCACTGCTCTGCTAGCCTAGGACAGCTTTTTCACTCGTTTTGTAGAATGACACTAGTCTTGTGTTGATTTCGTACATTAACTTCAGCCAGAAGTGAGCCTTGGGTGCATATTTAGTGGTCATCTTACGGATTAAATTGTCTACCTGCTTTTTTTTGTTTGTTTGTTTGTTTGTGCGGCTGAACAAAAGTCATTTTTTGGAGAGACTTCATTACATCCACTACACAATTGGATCTCATGTAAAGCAGTAACCGGCTTTGCTGCTACCTGTCTCTCCTTAAACGTTAGACGCCAGTGATGACAGAAGGTGTTCGGAGTCCTGCCTTGTACATTCAGTTAGTTAAATCATCCTTTATGTATGACCTTATCCAATGTATGTTTTGAAAGGTGCCAATAATGAATGGCTGAGACAGTTCTGTGTGTATTTCTGTACAGCGTCAACAAACATATACACAACTGACTATTCGTTCCACCGTAGTTGCAGAGCTGGACGTTTTTATCGTTACTGTCTTGTAGTATGGTTTGTCATGAGTTTTGATATGCAGTGTAAAAAAAGTTGTTTTTGTCTTCGCTTCGGAGGATTTTGTACTTGTATAGTTAATATTGCACAAGCCAAAATTAGAAAGAACTAAGACTTACAGCATTGAGCAGTTTATCTCCAGCATACTGGGTTTTTTTTTAAATAACATTACAGTTTCTGGAGCTACATTTGTTCCTTTAAAAAGGTCAGAAACTAATCGCTGCTGAGACATAATTGCCTGAAATTAATCTTGTTTTTATGCTTTCAAACAAAATATAGTGAGCTCTGGAGATTGACCGGCATTCAGTAGCAGTTAACACCGTATGTTAAATGTGTGACAGGCAACTGACTGCATTTGTAACTTGCAAATACGACTGATTTTATTTTGCTAGTTTTGTTGCTAAAACTGAAGCCCGCACACAACTTAAATTTGTCAAGTTGATTACAGGAATTTTACTAAGTAGTTAAAGGGGAATTCCACCAATTTTTCAACATTTCTGCATAATTTAATCTTTGAGATTTGTCGTTTAGAGTGATTTTGATGTGAAATGGTTTATTGTAGATAAGCTTACTGATTTCCGTACAGTGGAGGTGATAGGAACCAGAGGACACATAGTTTACACAAATATAGCCATTTTATTTGCTCTCCAGGATGACCAGTGAACCTACACTTGAATTGTATATCGCTGTTGTCGGAACAAAACCTTCTATCGCCAAAGTGCTAACTTAACAGGAGAAGGAAAAAACATACTTTACTTTCAATGTAAGTCAATGGAACCAGACTTTTTTTTAAAGTCCTTTTGGGCCATTTCTTTTGGTCCATTCATTATGAAGTTTTGACACAGTGTATAGGTCAACAGGCATTTTCCCATTGTCAAAAAACTGAAAAACGAGGTTTTTGTCCAGACAGCAGCGGTTAGGTAATATTGTTAATGGTAAAATGGTGGTAAATTTGAAAAATAAGTTTACTTTGGGTAATATTTTGCCTCAGCAGCCTGGATGTACCTCTCTGTTATTAATGCATTAAAAATATGTTTTAGGTTAAAACCTTATTTCAGGACAATTGGAAACCAAAGACCATTCACTGTAATCATTTTGTGTGAGGGAGCTTTTAGAGGCACTAAATGCATCAGAGGGTTTGAACAATTGTGACTCGGCAAGTTTCTGTAGAACAAAGTATTTCACGTCAAACCAGTCTACATGGCAGTGGTTGAATTTTGATAAATCGGTGGAATTCCCTTTTAACATGCACACATTCAGCTTAACTTGACTGACAAACATAATTCAAGCGAATGATCTTTTAACAGAGTATCCTCCCTCTGAAGGCATGAAGGCACACTCCCTCCGGTTGATAATAAAAGGATTTATATGCAAAGTTTGCGACTCGGTTTAAAGGTCCACAGTGATGTTTATGTAGCTACATTTGCTACAGTTGTATGTGACCAAACGCAGACTGGGGTCTATGAAACTTACATTGTCTGTACATACTTGCAGCTTCTCTGTTTAACGGTCTCTCTCTCTCTCTCTCTCTGTCCGGTGGTCTTAACTGTGTCTTCAGTAGCTGGTACAGTGCTCGTGTATGAGTATTTTATTTCCCTGCCTAATGAAGTCCAGGGTTTGCATTAACCCAGCCCCCCCGGTCCCTCAGCGCTCTCTCACTTTTTCTCTTTTTCTCTCTCCACCCCACTTTGTATCTTCTTGAGTTTCAGTGCACTGCAGTGATAAAAAGGGCTGCATGGAAAGACTGCATCTGTATTACATTTAGTCACTCTGGACTTGACCTGTGACTCAATAAAGATTTTTTTTTTTCTTTTTAAAGTGACCTGTTCCAACGTAGGTCCGTTCTATAAGCCTTACCACGTAGGTCGTATCGGCCTCGGAGGGCTCTGGACTACTGTTCTTTTGTTACAGTCCTACCAAATCTAAAAATGCAAATGTAGATAATAAATATAAGCTAGAGGGAACAATTTAAACTTTTAATTGCAAGTTTTCTGGCTCCTGCAGGCTTTCATTTCTTATTAACAGTGCTAGCATTTTAGGTATTTCTGAATGGAAATCTGAATTCTCTGCTTTTTTGAAAAATAACTATGTAACATGTAAGCATTGTTAAAATGTCGAAACATATATGGAACATATCGCTGCTGTCGGAATAAAACCTTGTATCTCCAAAATTACTGTACATGAGAAGGAACAAACATACTTTACTTTCAATGTAAGTCAATGGAACCAGACTTTTTTCAAAGTAATTGTGGGTCGTTTCATTTGGTCTATTCATCATGAAATTTACATGCAGTGTAAAGAACAAAAGGCATTTTCAGATTGTCAAAAACTGAATACAAAAATGGAGATACGAGGTTTTCTTCCAACAGCAGCGATATACGGAAACTATACTGCAAAAACAGTATTTACTGTCATAAAAACCAATACAGCTTATAGCAGATTAGGCCTTCTATTCACACTGCAGTTATAAGGAGTGTTTCAGCCTGGACTGCTTATGTCTGAATGATGCACAATGCAAGGTGTTTACATATGTGAGTTTAAAAAGTGCAGTAATAAAATGAACAGCCTATTCAGTTTGTAAGAGATAAAGATGGCGTGGGGAGGGGGGGAAAGTAATGTAAAATGAATTACAACTGTTTTGGTAAATAAAACCTCACATTTCCATAAAAATTAACCTCAGAAGGAAAAAATAAATTTTGAATATTGCCCCTTTAACGAGATGAAATGTAAATGTGTAATTTTTATTCTGAAATTCCTGTTGCCAGCCAGGAGGAACATTCAAGAGAATGCAAAAACCTTAACTTTCAGTGTCAGTTAAGATAAAAGGGTTTAATTCCAAGTGATTTTGGAGCATTTCTATTGGTCCATTCATTATGAATTTTTTTGACAATTTAAAGGCAGCCACCATGTTCAACTAATATGGGAAAATAAAAAACATCAAACATGGATTTATTTTTTTGTTTTGGCGGCAGCGACGAGTTATTGAAGAAAAAAAAATTAAAACCCAATGCAGATGCCTACACAGATATCTGGAGAGAAAAAAACTAAACAAAAACCACTGAATTCATCTTTTAAACTTTAATATTTTTTTCTTTTTTTCATGAAAGAACATCAAAGAACAATGCACAAATAACAGATGTCTTTTTCATTTCCTTAAAAATAGATGAAAATATGAGAGGACGATCCTGTCACTCGGTGACAGATGAAGGAGGAAAGAAAAAAAAGAAACAAAAAAAGGCAAAGTACAGGCGAAAATTGCAAGGGTGTCACCACTGACCTCTGCCTCACCATAGCCAACTTTTAAAGAGGTCTGATTTATTTTCTCACTCGTTTCAGTTTCAAATCAACATTTACACAATGTATACAACAGCCCACGAAAGGAAGAAGGAAGGTATGAATACATAAGCAAGGGATAAAATTACATTTTTTACAAAAATAGATCCTTTTTCTTTTTTTTTTTTCAGGTGTCATAATTAATTCTCAACATTTTCAAAGGTTCTGTCTCTGTGGCGTCTAAAGAACTGATTGTGTCAGGGTCTACGCTTATCAAACCAGGTTCTTTTTTCCTTTCATATATCCTATCCAATTTTTTCTTGAAGCCTGAACTCATGGAGTCTGATTTCGACCACATTCATATGCTTTTCAGCAACTGATTGTTAGCTGCTATCCTGAAAATCCGATCAGGTTTTGAAAAGCAGGCGAGAACACGCTGCCTTTTTCAGTTCAGCTTCCAGGCCTGATTCTCGCAGTTCTTGAGGTTTTCCGTAAGGATGATTATCAAACCGTGAAGGAGCTGGTGAGCGATCATATCTTAGGGCTTGGAGCTGCTGGTATTCTGCTCATTTCTCTGCTTTAGTTCATCAAAGCTGAACACAAAAGCTTCAGCAATTCAAACACTGAACCACGCCTGGTATCTCTGAATACTACACAGTGCAATTAGGCCTGTTTTTTTTGTTTTTTTTAATTAATTTTTTTTTAAGTAGGTTTTACCAAAGCACTTGGCGCTCTTTTTACTAACGTTGACTGGAAACATTTAAGGAAAAGGATTTGTTTTTATATACTTATTTATAAATATATACACATGTACATATAGACAAAATATAGCTTTATCTCATATATAAAGCATTTATGCATGTGTTCATCCTGTCAATCTTTAGTTCAGAGGACTCGTGTTTCCTGCAGGAGAGTTTCTTCATTGTTAGTGATTTTAAAATCTGCATATGGCTTCAAGATCCCTGTGGTCTGACACTCCTCCATTTAAGACCACGATCAGTTTAATCCACAAGCCTGAAAAATTGATAATTTATTACATCAGGGTGTAAATATTGAGAACTACAGCACTTCATGCATGTTCCATGGGGTTTCTGAGTTCTGTTGATGTTTTATCTGAGATGAGATGTAGGCTACAGTGTTTCCACCAGAAACCCAGCCTCATCCTTCCTGCTTTAAGATTCATTTTATCAAGGCTGTCAAAATTTCGCCAGTCACCTGATTGCCTACTTTTCAGTCCTACTCATAAGAGCACCGTTCATTTCTTCCAAATCAATGATAACGGGCCTCACAGCTATACATGCATTTTCAATTAATCATATTAACTGATCAGGTAATCATGTTATTGCTGATCATATCCAATCTC